GATCGCTATCAATAATTATATGTAATAATAAGAATTTTTAATGATTTATTTATTTATTTTACTAATTTTTAATAAATGGTATTAATTATTGCTAAGTATTTAAAGTAAAAATTACTAGTCAAATATATACAATAAGGATTTTTAATGATTTATTTTACTAATTTTTAATAAATAGTATTAATAATTGTTAAGTATTTAAAGTAAAGATTACTGGTCTAATTTTATAATTTATTCATCATTTTGTTTAAACAATTATTACAGCTTGCATTTATCAAATTTTTTTAGTAAATAATAAATGATATTAAATTATTAATTCAAATAGATCTAATTTTAGAATTTATTTTATTTATTTATATTATATTTTATTATTATTATATATTTACTACTATTCTAAATAATCCTTTCTACTTTTTTTTATTCTTTAAATTAACCAATATGATTTATAGATAGATTTAATCTAATTTATTAATTGATCAATAGAAGACTGATAATTCAAAATTAAGACATTTAATAGTTCTAAAATTAGACTATGATATTTTTAGTATTTTTTACTATTGAAAAATTTTTTATAATATAAATTATCTTTTGCATTAATAGTTTTCAAAACTGCTTTTATTTTAACTTAAATATAAAAAACAAATAAACTAAAAAATTTAAAAAATTTAAAATATACTCAGACTTCTTTTATATTAGCTTCTTCTATTACTAAATTATTATTATTCTTAAAATTTAACAATTTTAATTTATTTTAGTTTAATAAACTGATTTTTCCTTATGATTTAGATGATGATTTATTAATTTTGTAGAAGGATTATTATTTAACTATTTTAATAATTTAGACAGTTATATTTTCTCAAATTATTTAAGTCTTAAATATTAAAAAAAAATTAATTATTGTAAATATTAGAATATTAGTATATCAAATTTTACTTTTTATGTAAATCATTTTCTTTATCAAAATCTTTATTGATTTTAGCAAAAAATTAGTTTTTCTCTTTTAATCTTTATATTTTTCAAAAGTTTTGAATTTTGTTATTTTAATTTTTTGATCTTTTTACAAAATTTGTTAAACTTTTTTTTTAGCTTTTAATTTTCTATGTAAAAATAAAAAATATATTGTTAATTATTATAAATAATAGATAAAAATAAATTAAAATAATATTTAATTTTAAATTATCAGAATTATCAAGAATTTTAACTATAACTACAGCTAAATACTTATTATCAATTTTGTCTATATTTTGAAAAGCTAAAATTTTTCATATCATTTTTAAATTTTAATAATATTTATTTCTATATTTAGATTTTCTTCAAACAATTTTGATTATATTTATTTTATTAGTTTTTTATTTTAAAAAAGTAAAAAAATTAGTTTAAAATTTAAAAAGTTTATTAGTTAATTAATAAAATTCAATTTATATTTTAATTCTTTTTAGCTAATTTTGCTTTTTAAAGACATTTTTGTAGTATTATTTACAATTGAATTTTGAAAGCTAACTGGTTAATTAATAAAATTCAACTTATATTTTTTTATCAGCTAAGTTTAATTTTTAATATATTTTTAATATTAGTTGTAATTGAGTTTTTATTATATAAAAGTTAAAAATTATTTAAAAGTTAAACTTGTTTATGGCTGATTTTGATTTTTAATATATTTTTAATATTGATTGTGATTGAGTTTTTTAATAGCATTTTAATAGCATTTTAATAGCATTTTAATTTTTTGAAAAAATAAATTTGATTATAAAAAGTTTAAATTGAAATTATTTTTTAAAAAGTAAAAAAATTAGCTTATTTAAATAAACTCAAAAAATATATCAAATAATATATTAAAACAATATAAGATTTAAAATAAATTAGAAATAATTTATTAATATAATTAATACTTTAATTAAGAAATGATAATTGTTTTAGTTTGAAGCATAATTTCAGATAATTTTTATAATAAAATCATAATTTATTAATTTTTATTTAATTTTTTTAATGTTTAATTTTTATGAAATATATGTAATATAATATCAGCAATATAAAATTTTATTGAGTGATCAATATATAGGATAGAATGACATTATATTTGATATATCTAATATTTGATTATCCTTTACTATACTTTAAGTAATTATATATTAAATGAGACTTAAATTAAGTAAAAAATAATTCTTTTATTATGTATTAAGATTTAAAGTAAATTGAAAACTATTTATCAATATATTAAATAAAAAATAGACTTATTAAAAATAGTTATATATATTAAATTTAAATTAAGAAAATAAATTAGTAATTTATTATAATAATATAAATAAAATTGTCTATATTTTGATAACTTTTTAAAATATTTGATATTATTTTAGAAAAAAATATCAAATTATGAGATATCAATTTTTAATTAAAAAGTTGTAATTATATAATATTAGTCAGATTAATTTCTATTGATAAACTATTAAATTTTAACCTAATAAAATATAAAAGAATATTTACTATTAACATAATTAATAGAATATAGCATTTGTAAAAATAAATTAAATAATTAGCATAAATTTTATGCTTTAAAATACAAAATATCAGTTATACTTCCTTTTAAATTTTATTTTATTATATATATTTTAATTAATTTTTAATGTATATTAATCAGATATTAATCAGCTATAATGGAATTTAGTTGAATTTTAGTTGATTCTTATTGTATACTAATTAGCTAAATTGATGTTTATGATTTTTGATGATTTATCAATTTTAGGCTAATTTATTATATATTTAATTTTTAATTTTAATTAGTATAATCTATTAATTTAAAATTTATTTTTTAAATTAATAAAATAATATCTCTTTAATTATTTTATCTACAAATTTGTAGATAATTAATTTATAAATTAAATTACTTTTAATTATTTTTAAAAATTTTAAAATAAATTATTAAAAAACTAAAAAAAAATTGTAATCAACTAGTGATTTTTAAAGATAAATAAATGATAAATTATTATTAAAAAAAGATTAAAATTTAAAATTCATATATTTTATTATCTATTAATCACATAAATATAAAAATACTATCATTTAATAGGTCGTGATGAGATGAATCTAATAAACTAAATTTTATTTTTAAATAATTATTACATAATATGTTATTTTTAAAAATATTATTATTAAATATATTTTAATATAATAAATTTAATAAAATTTATTTCATTTTTTATAATCATTAAATGTTAAAATATTTTGAGTTTTCTAAAATGGTTTATAAATGATTTAAATTTTAATTTAAGGGATAATATAAAATCATATTTTTACTTATTTAATTTTATAATTATTTCTTTATAATTTATAGAAAATAAACTTATTTTATTTTATTTTATTTAATACAATAATAATACAAAGATATTTTAAATATATTTTCAGTAAGTAATATTATAATTAATAATTAAATAGAAATTAAATAGAAATGAAAATGTACAAATATTTCAAAGTATTTACTAATTTATTTATTAAATTATAAAAATTTGTATTTAATATATTAAGAATCATTTATAACTAGAAAGAGAAGTAAATATAACAGTTTTTTTTTTGATTTAAAATTACTAATCTAATATAATAAAAAAGTAGACTAATATTTAATAAAATTAATAAATAAAATATGGTAAATCTTTAATTTATTTATTTAAAAAGTATTAAAATAGTTTTAATATCATTATGTTATATACTTTATTACAGAAATTTTTTCTTATATAAAATTTATAATATACTACTGTTTTAATAATTAATTTCCGCTTTTTGTTCCTTAACTAAATTACTATGTAATTATGAACAACTGAAAAAGCGGATAAAAAATATGAAAAAGGTAGTATTTATGATATTATAATAAAATTTTATTTATTTTAAAAAAACTAATAATAGAAATATGGGAGGGCGTCAGTAAAAAAGGGGGGGAAATCCAAAATTTTTTGATAATTTTAATTCCCCTAACGCTAAGCTAATTTGAGCACATGACTCTGATCAGTCAAGTAGACCAATAAAAAAATTTTATCAAAATTTTAGATTTCCCCCTTTTGCCCTTATAATTTTTTTTTATTTAAACTTATATCAAGAGATGTATATAGTTCAATAATTAAAAATTCAAAAATTATTTTGGTAAAGATACTCAAGGTCGGATATCAATTTTCCATGTTATATTAATAAAAGGAATCACATTTTTTAGATGAAACAATATTCACTTAATAGAAAATCGATTTTTTTTTTTTTTTTAATTTGGGTCAGGTTTAAAAGATGACCGGACGGAATTAAATTAAATTGCGATCCCGAATATATGCTATTAAATGAAATGAATATTTTGGTAATTGCTTGTTGAGCAACATGACATCATGTTAGATTTATCTGCACTTAACAAATGGTCCTTTTTTGGTAACTTCTAATCGCAACATTCGATGTTTTCAAAAACACGATACCACTTACTATTTTTTATTTTTTAAGAAAAAATTCATTGTTAAAGAAATTCTTTGATTTAAAAGGAGAAAAAGGTTTCTATCTTTTTTGTCCTTTCGCAAAATAGGAGAAATGGCTTGACGTGAGATTTTTTTTTTTTTTTTTAAAAAAATTTGATAGCTAATAAATTTTTTATGTTCTCTTTAAGAGTTACTTTTTAAATTTTTTTTGTTAGCACATCAAGGAGTATATGACCCAAAAGTTGTTCATTGGCTTATTATTATTATCATTAAAAATCGTCTCTTGCAAAACACATTTTTACCAAAGCTGAAATCCTTTCTTTTAAAAGAAAATAAACCCATTTTTTTTTAAAAAATTTTGTACGAAACGAAACGAAAAAATTCAAATTAGCAATTAGCAACGAACCATAACATTCACAACACTTTATTTTTTTTAAAAAAAAAATCTATTTTTCCCCCATTTCTATTTTATATTATTTTCTCTTTCTCCTCTCTTAAAGAGCGCTTCTAAAAAAAAAAACTGGTCGATTTTTTTTTTTTCTTTCCAAAATTGAATCGATAATCATGTCATTTCACTCTAGTGCGTCTGAACGAGTTTTACCACCCATCATGACACTTGACAAATCGTCCTCTGTTTCCCATTCCAATAATGGCGTGCCGGCACCAGTTTTGCCTCCAGTTTCTTGTCTCGCGCCTCCCATACCTCCTCTACTCTCTCCGATAACGCCACCACCCGATTTTAACAAAAATTCATCTCGCAGTTTAACCTCTCTACACATCTCACAATCACAATCTTATATTTCTCCTCCTCAGTCCGAACGTACGTCGCCGCATTCTTCGGCTCACAGTCACTTTCATTTTCATAATGACGCGCCATCTTCTCAACAACAATATGTTGACCAGCAACAATCGCAACCTTTCTCCCCCACAAGAGCTGCTGGCAGCGCGCCATCACAATTGGTCATGTCCACATCTCATATTACTCATCCCTCACATCATTCCAATCTATTGGTGAGACCAAATCACCATCCTTATTCTCATCCCATGTATCATCAAGGAAGGCCAGGGGTTGATCCTGCTAGCGAATTGTTGGCCGAAAAGCGACGTCGTAATGCCGGTGCTTCCGCACGTTTCAGAGATCGTCGAAAGCAACGTGAGAGAGAAATGCAAGAAAAATGTCAATTTCTCGAAAGAAGGGTTCAAGAATTGGAAAGTACGGATAGTGCCAAACGTATTGCTGAATTAGAAAAGAAATTGGAGGATGCTAATGAAGAAAAAAACGTTGCAAATCAAAAATTACAAGAATTAGAGAAAGAGGTAAGGCATCCGTCTTTTACGAAAATCGTTTTTGTCATGTGATCCATGTTTTAAGAGATCTTTACTAATTTTGCGCGCCATGACGCGTCATTTTTGTTATGTTAGAATCAACAGTTTCGTTCTCGATTCGAACGTGATTTAGGTTTTCTCACACCCAATTCTTCTTCGGGAGAATATGATTCGAAAGATATTTTATTTGATGACACTTCGAGATTATCAAGATCATCATCATCATCTTCGTTTTCGGATTGCTCTCGTAAACCGACCGATGTTAAATCACTCTTGTCATGAATTAATGATTGGGGAAAAAGTTAAAATCCTTCTTGGGGTACTTTTTAATTATTTGACAAAATATTTTTTGAGTATGCAGTTTATTTTTACGCTTTTTCTTAAAAGGATTCTCCTTTTAAATAAACATCATTATGATTTCTTTTTTTTGTTTTTATTTTTTGTTTTTTTTTTTCGTTCAAGCAGTTTCTTGGTATATTTTTACATAATTCCTAATTTACTCCCTATATTAAAACTAGAGGATTATCTCTAATATTTTAAAATATATTTCTAGACTTAAAAAAGATATTTTTTTTTTTTCCCTAAAATTCTCCCTCTTATGTTAATATATATGCCTATTTTTCTTTTTTCTCCTTTTTTTTTAAAAAAAATTCTCTTCTTAAATATTTTCTTTTAACATTTCTTTTGTATATAATTACAAACAACAAACAACAACAAAAAAAAAAAAAAAAAAAAAAAAAAAAAAAAAAAAAAAAAAAAAAAAAAAAATTCTTTTAAAACTTTTTTTTAAAAAAAAAAATACATATATTCCCTTTTTGTTAAATATAATATAATTTTTTAATTTATAGCGAAAAAAAAAAAAAAAAGAAAAAAAAAATACTGATTTTTTTTTTTTTATTATTAAATATTTTACGAACAAAACCAAATATGATTCTTTATTTCTTTTTTACTTCCTTAATTAAATACACGCACCTTTTTTTAGGTAAATTCATGTAACGACGTAACAACATAACTACCTTATAATATCATAATAAAATTAAAAGTGGTATGCGCGTTCAAGTTTTTTACTCAAAAAAATATATATATATCAAATGAATTTTCCTTACCAAATAATGTTGGGTACA